GATTTTTCCCCCCCTGGATAGCTACAAAAAACCTAGATTGAAATGCTTCATAGTCGGTCTAGGGGAGCCTGCCGGGTCGTCACTGACTGGCCCCTACAGAGAAGTCAGAATCATTGGGAGATAGATGTATTTGGAAGCAGAGGATCCGCCCCTTGCTGCTCACTTCAGAGAGGTAAGTTCATTTCCGATATGGACGTCTATGGGAGTAGATGGAGTCGCCCCCTGCTGGTCACTACAGAAGAGGTAGAGTCATTTCCTTTTAGATGTCTATGGGAGCAGTAGAGTCGCCCCCTGCTGGTCACCTACAGAGAAGTAGAGTCATTTCCTCATAGAGTTCTATGGGAGCAGAGGAGTCGCACGCTCCTGGTCACTACAGAGAAGTAGAGTCATTTCCTCATAGACGTCTATGGGAGTAGAGGAGTCGCCCACTGCTGGTCACTACAGAGAAGTAGAGTCATTTCCTCATAGACGTCTATGGGAGCAGAGTAGTCGCCCGCTGCTGGTCACTACAGAGACGTAGAGTCATTTCCTCATAGACGTCTATGGGAGCAGAGGAGTCGTCCCTTGCTGGTCACTACAGAGAAGTAGAGTCATTTCCTCATAGACGTCTATGGGAGTAGAGGAGTCGCCCCCTGCTGGTCACTACAGAGAAGTAGAGTCATTTCCTCATAGACGTCTATGGGAGCGTCTATGGGTTAGTTTAAAAATAAAGGAATATTGTATTGGTCCATAAATCGGTGGCACGTACAGCCACATGTCATAACATTTTCTGTCTGCAGACGATCGTTCGGGGGAGTTTCATTGGTCACGGTGACTACATCTCCCAGGTCATCTCTGAGATGAGCCACCTGTCTGTCACCGCCTCCAACTCTCTGCGCCGATACAGCCCATCGGCACGGCAACGGGCCCGGTCGCTTGGCCTCCTTGGAGACCTGGCTGACGAGGAGTCGTACCAGTACGAGCGGCTCGGTTGCCGCAGCAACGGCATGAAGACGAGTCTTTCCACCTACTGGCAGGACAGGATCCAACAGGTGTGCAGCGATAGAGGCGCATCTCTGCAGAGAGCGAAGTCCACCTGCGAGGTAGGCTCTTCGTCCGTGGCCACGCCCCCTATGCCTGCGAGCCCGCAAACGACTGGTGCGAACGGTGCGGGCGCGTCAACAGGTGGACGGGTAGGGCAAAGGCAGAGACCAGCTTCCTGTTACAATCCCCTGCAGACCGGGAAGAACAGCAGACCTCACCTGAGGCCCAGACCAGCTCACCTGCCCGACCTGCTGTCCTCTGCCAGAGAAACTCCCAGAAGGCCTCACTCCTCTTATAACCTCAATGTAACACATGGCTTTGTCTTCATGTACATTCATAAATAAAGGTTTCTTTTATTGTTTTTAAGTATATCTTCTCCCCCAGCTTTCCCCCTATGCCTCCCCCCCCCCTATTAGCACCAGCAGTCCCGTCATCGCAGGTCCACCTCAGCGTTTGCTCCGCCCATCCTCCACCTTCAACATCGGACTTCCTGCAAAGACACCACCCCCCCTGATCGAGACCCGGTCCTCGCCCCACCCCTCCTCCCTCTCCCCCTACCCCGAGCAGCTGGCACCTGACGCAAGTGTGAAGGTGACTCATAAGCAGTTCAAGGAGGCGCTGCAGATGGTGGTGGACCCTGGAGACCCGAGGAACACTCTGGAAAACTTTGTGAAGATCGGAGAAGGTTCCACAGGAGTCGTCTGCATCGCCAGAGAGAGAAGCAGCGGCAGACAAGTAGCAGTGAAGATGATGGACGTGAGGAGGCAACAACGCAGGGAGCTGCTCTTCAACGAGGTATAGTAGTAGTAGGGTGGAGTAGGGTGGAGTAGAATGTACATTATAATGGTAAGTAAAGTCAGTGAAAGTGAACTGTAGTAAAGTTAATTGAAATGAAAACAAAAATGGATGTACACACCCTTTTTGTTCATCTAGTATGCGTTTGATCATTTCCACGGTGCCCCGTTTTAGCTAGCAGGCCGTCTCTGAACACAGTGTCGAAAGCTTTGATGAAATCAATGAAAACAGCACACAAAGGTCTGTTTTGTTCCACACACTTTTCCTGTAAATAACAGCTCAATAAGAGAGACTCGTTCTAAATTGACAATTCATTTATTACGCCTGTAACATTGAAATAGTGGACTCCATCCTAATTAAGCAATAAGGAACGAGTACTTTACAGTCCAATAATGTAACAGTTGTTAATAACACAGACAAGATGGTCTCCCACTTTGTTGTCTTGCACATGTGTGATCTCTCTTAGGCCCTCAGCGTCTCATTATCAAGTTGTTCCTGTATATCGTCATCTTTAAGGGCTTGGACCTTTAGCTTGGTCGGTTTTGTGGATGTGTGCCTTCTGTAGGTCTTTCTCGGTGTGAGTGAGAATTCTGTGCAGCAGTTGGCTCCTCTCATCGGACAGAACATCAGACTTATTAACAATGAAATCAATCTGGTGCCAGTGCTTGAATCGCGGGCGCATCCATGTAGTCTTCTTACTTGTTTCAAACATTGTGTTAGTGAGGATTAGGTTGTTGTCTGTGCAGAAGGCCAGTAGCTTCTCACCTGAGATCATCTTTCTGTTCCCAAATGTACAAATGTGTTTCGTCCCAGGATACATTGTCTGCTCCAACCCGTGCATTGAAGGATCCCTTCATCCCCTAGGACGATATAGTTTGCTGAAGTGGGTAGAAGTCTATTTCGCCCTCTGGGTAGGTCATTGTCGGTGTATACACCCTCACAACCGTCAGATTGTTATTGTGGTCTAAAGGTATTTGCAGGGCCGTGGCTGTTGGTAGTTGCGTCAGGTCTTTGCTGAGTTGGGTCTTGATGGCTAATACCACTCTGTGCTCTCTTGGTTTACCACTCTAAAGGAATGTGAAGCCAGTTAGGGCCTCTACCAGCGATCCGCTCTCCAGGATGTCGACATTATGTCTGCGTAGCTCTCTGGCAACCAGGGCAGTCTGTCTCTATTTCATCAGGTCTGTCAATCAAAGTTTTCACATTCCACTCTCCAAATACGATCTTTGTTTCCCTCTTTTCCTCGCATACCTTCAGTGCCATCGGAAATGACTAGGCTTCAAACGAGCCAGTGTGGGTGTTGTGATAACCTGTCTGCTAGCAAAAGTATAGAGTTTGCCAGATATCCCAGGAAGTCTTTCTGGGCACAAGATGCCACGTTTTGCAAGGACTGCCGAGACAAGTTCCTCATCACCCCTGTGCTTCTGCACCCCCACTGAATATATATATATATATATAACACATTATTGGTGTATAACGGACACCCTCTGACATCATCAGCAGCCTCACCTGTCCCATGTGTCTCAGGTGGTGATTATGAGAGAGTACCGGCATCACAACGTGGTGGAGATGTTTGGCAGTGCTCTGGTGGAAGAGGAACTCTGGGTAATCATGGAGTACCTGCAGGGCGGCGCTCTGACTCACATTGTCAGCAAGACCAGGTGAGCAGGAAGTCAGAGACAACAGGTACTTCTACAGCACTGTGTACTTAAGTCCTCAAAATGTGCAGTAAAGTACTCTGCCTGTGTACTTAAGTACTCACTCTGTGCAGTAAAGTACTCTGCTTGTGTACTTAAGTACTCACTCTGTGCAGTAAAGTACTTTGCCTGTGTACTTAAGTACTCACTCTGTGCAGTAAAGTACTCTGCTTGTGTACTTAAGCACTCACTCTGTACGGTAAAGTACTCTGCCTGTGTACTTAAGTACTCACTCTGTGCAGTAAAGTACTCTGCCTGTGCAGTAAAGTACTCTGCCTGTGTACTTAAGTACTCACTCTGTGCAGTAAAGTACTCTGCCTGTGTACTTAAGTACTCACTCTGTGCGGTAAAGTACTCTGCCTGTGTACTTAAGTACTCACTCTGTGCAGTAAAGTACTCTGCCTGTGTAGTAAAGTACTCTGCCTGTGTACTTAAGTACTCACTCTGTGCAGTAAAGTACTCTGCCTGTGTAGTAAAGTACTCTGCCTGTGTAGTAAAGTACTCTGCCTGTGTAGTAAAGTACTCTGCCTGTGTACAGGCTGGAGGAGGAGCAGACAGCGACGGTGTGTCACAGCGTCCTGGAGGCTTTGTCTTATCTTCACTCTCAGGGAGTCGTTCACAGAGACATCAAGAGCGACTCCATCCTGCTGAGTGTGGACGGGACGGTAAGACACACAAACACAGAGACAGACTCAGACTCAGAGAGACCAACACAAGAGATACACAATACAACTTTTCTCTAACGGTTTGTTGTAGCTTAGCATGATGGAAACAGAACAATTCACATAGTAAATGTAACATTTCATGTCATGTTCAAACTCAACAAACTGAAAGGTATTAAATAAAAGAACGTTTCCTTCCTCTTCCTTGCTTCTCCCCATTCCACCCCCCACCCCCCTCCCCCCCTCGACAGATCAAGCTCTCAGACTTTGGTTTCTGCGCTCAGATCAGTAGAGAGGTCCCAAAGAGGAGGTCCCTGGTGGGGACTCCGTACTGGATGGCTCCTGAGGTCATCTCCAAAACCCCGTATGGGACCGAGGTACAAGAGCCCCTTGTTGGAGAACCTGGTTCGGCAGGTTGTGTGTGTGAGCAGGTAACCGCTGACAGCCTCCTGTTCCCCTCAGGTGGACATCTGGTCTCTTGGCATCATGGTGGTGGAGATGGTGGATGGAGAGCCGCCGTATTTCAGCGACACGCCCATCACCGCCATGAAGAAGCTGAGAGACGAGGCAGCGCCGACTGTGAAGAACATCCACAGGGTCAGCCACACACATGCATGTCTTTACAGCAAAGGAACAGGGCAGGAGTTGTGAGGACCTGTTTCTTTATACAATAAAGAGTATTAAAACAACTGGACCTGAGGCCACAACCAGCATAATAAAACACTGCCTCATCGGTTAGTCAACATTGGGTCAGGAAGGCTGAGGAGATAACCGGTGAGTAGTTGTGGGGCTCCGGCTGATGACATCATGTTGTGTGCCTCAGATGTCTCCGGTGTTGAAGGACTTCCTGAGCTGCATGCTGACTCGGGACACGCAGCAGCGCTCCAGTGCCACCGACCTGCTGGAGCACCCCTTCCTGCTGCAGGCCAGCTCACCGCGCTGCCTCGTGCCGCTGGTGGAGCAGCACCGCAAGCACATGTCCCTTTGCTGAAGACCCTGAGACTTACCTTGGAAACATGTGACGCTCACCTGAGACACAGATGGGACTCGTGAGCAAAAAATGGGGCACTAACCTGAGAACCAAGTGAGACTCACTTGAGGACACCTAAGAAACAGACTCGACTAAGACAAGTGTGGGATTTACCTGAGATACATGTGACACTCACCTGAGACAGATGAGGGACTCACCTGAAGCTCACCTTTACCAACCTTTAAGACCAAACTTCATTTTACACATTTTTGTCCCGTCCTTTTTTTCCTACAATGTTCCTGTGTTGATGTTGCTTCTAAAAAAGATCTTAAAGGATTTATTTTGAAGAAATATATATTTGAACTCTGGACGCTTATTTTGCGGCGCGTGCAGTAGAGCCGGTGTGCTGTAACCGCAGGGTTGATGGTTCAAACCTCCGCTGCTCCATGTCCCATGTCGAAGTGTCCCTGAGCAAGACACCCAACCCCAAACTGCTCCCTGTGTGCGATGCTTTAAATGCAAAGAATCATCAAAACATGTCTGTGTTTAAATTAAGAATATATTTGACTCTACTTTGTAAATGACCTCTGACCTTCACTGACAAAGGAACAAATTCTGCCCATCAAGACAAACATCTGACCCAAACGTAGACATGTTCTATTTTCTCTCTCTACTATTTCATTTCTCTATCATTCATTTCTCTCTTTATTATTCATTTTAAGTTTTATCTTGTTAACTCGTCGTCCAAGAGATTATGTGTCTAGAGGAAGATAATCGGCTTCTATTTTAACGACTGCGTGAACGGACTGAACAACTCTTCATCTTCACCCTCTCAATCTTCTTCTTCATCACGTTTAAAACTCAAAAACTACAGAAGAATATTTAATAATGAAACATTGCCACACTTTATCTCTTTAATGTAAAGTTCAGATGGTTCAACAGTTTTCTAGTGGTCTTATATTTTATTTAAACTCTTACTTCAAACTTCATTTATTAGACTTTATGATCACAATAAGTTTATGTTTACTGCTTATTTTTCAACCAACATAACAACAAATCATCCCAATTCCCAGTTAAAATATCTAAAACTAATATAACTGATTTACTGACTTCTAGCTTCTAATAATTTCCTGGACATTGATAAATAAAATGTACAGGTGAACTGGATGGTTTAAAGAAGTAAAGAAACACTGGAGAACGTTATGAATCTGAGGTTTGACGTCAGAAGAAGATTAGAACTCCTCATCGAATGTCTCTGTTTCTATTTTAGAGTCTGATGAGATAAAGAGAGACAAACACTTCAGTTACTCAGTTAACACTCCTCCTACCAGAGTCCACGAATTACACTACAAACACCCAAATACACATTATATTAAGATATATCCAATTAAATACAAATGGAAATGTTAACTGTGTGATACTACAGGGGATACATGTCTGTCATGCTCATACATCAGAGTATGGGGTTTAGTAATTACTGTAGGGAGCAGGAGGATGTTCAAGTTAAAGTGACAACTTAACTATTTTTTCAAAATAAGTTCTTTGAGTCTTTAGTGTTCAAGAAACTCTTGGAAATGATTTTACTGATTTAAATCAGAAATGATTTAGGTTTGAAATAGGATAATCATATGCAGAATATAATAATAATGTCTTTTTTAAGATGCACCAGCTGTTAACTTCCTTTATTCTATAAACAGTTTTCCTTTAGATTTATTTTTTATTTTTTAATATATGTGTAGAACAGACACAGAAAGACGGTAAAAAGTCAAATATAGTCTTGGTGTAATGATGAATTATATAGTATGTGTTACTAAATACTAATGTTATTATACATAGGTTTGAATCAGGAGCCATTTATGATTAATTTATCTTTTCTGGATGTATTTCATCATCCAAACCGAATCAGATACGAATAACTGTTTAAATATCAGAAGTGACGTGATTAACATGAATAAAAATGGGAGTCAAACCCCAGGAGGTAGATAGTAATACTTTGGAATTGATGGAGGATGAGCTTCAGTAGAAGAGAGTCTAAATGTAGAGGTGTGAGGAGTGTCTATCAGCGGCAGATAGGAAGAGAATCTCTCCTCTCCTTTAAATGGACTCTGACAGCTAAAGGTCCTAAATCTGCCCTCATGAGTTCCTCACATCTTATTTCCTAATTTGGTCCTAGAGGCGTCTTTATAAAGACCTGCCTGCTGTGAGCATCCCGCATCTCTGCTTCAGAGGCACAAAGATTCCTTCTTCATAGGATCGATCTCTCACCTGACACTCCGCCATGGGTGACGCTCTGATGGCCGAGTTTGGAAAGGCCGCTCCTTTCCTGAGAAAGTCTGACAAGGAGCGCCTGGAAGCGCAGACCCGAGCCTTCGACATCAAGACCCAATGCTTTGTGGTGGACGACAAGGTAGAATACATGAAGGGACAGATTCAGAGCAAAGATGGGGGGATGGTGACTGTCAAGAAGGAGGATGGAACAACAGTGACCGTGAAGGAGCTGGACGTCCACCCCCAGAACCCGCCCAAGTTTGATAAAATTGAAGACATGGCGATGTTCACCTTCCTTCATGAACCCGCCGTGCTGTTCAACCTCAAGGAGCGCTACGCCGCCTGGATGATCTACACCTACTCCGGGCTTTTCTGCGTCACCGTCAATCCTTACAAGATGCTCCCTGTCTACGACGCAGAGGTGGTGGCAGCTTACAGGGGAAAGAAAAGGACCGAGGCTCCCCCTCACATCTTCTCCATCTCCGACAATGCCTACCAGTACATGCTGACCGACCGGGAGAACCAGTCCGTCCTCATCACCGGAGAATCCGGAGCCGGGAAAACTGTGAATACCAAGAGAGTCATCCAGTACTTTGCCAGCATCGCTGCGGTCGGCGGAGGCAAACGGGACACTAGTAAGGGGACGCTGGAGGACCAGATTATCCAGGCCAACCCGGCACTGGAGGCCTTTGGAAATGCCAAAACGCTGAGGAATGACAACTCATCTCGTTTTGGGAAATTCATCCGAATTCACTTTGGTACAAGTGGGAAGCTGTCATCTGCCGATATCGAGACTTACCTGCTGGAAAAGTCCCGGTGCACCTTTCAGCTCAAGGCTGAGAGGAACTACCACATCTTCTACCAGATCCTCTCCAATCAGAAGCCAGAGCTGCTGGACATGCTGCTGATCACCAACAACCCGTACGACTACTCCTACATCTCCCAGGGAGAGGTGACGGTGGCCTCCATCAATGACTCGGAGGAGCTGCTGGCCACCGACAGCGCCTTTGACGTGCTGGGCTTCACTCCGGAGGAGAAGATGGGTGTCTATAAACTCACCGGGGCCATTATGCACTACGGCAACATGAGGTTCAAACAGAAGCAGCGCGAGGAGCAGGCTGAGCCGGACGGGACCGAGGCCGCTGATAAAACAGCCTACTTGATGGGGCTGAACTCTGCCGACCTCATCAAGGGGTTGTGTCATCCCAGGGTGAAGGTCGGGAATGAATACGTAACCAAAGGTCAAAGTGTGGACCAAGTCTACTACTCCCTCGGTGCCCTGGCTAAGTCGGTCTATGAAAAGATGTTCAACTGGATGGTGGTCAGGATCAACCACTCGCTGGACACCAAGCAGCATCGTCAGTATTTTATAGGAGTACTGGATATTGCTGGGTTCGAGATCTTTGACTACAACACTTTTGAGCAACTGTGCATAAACTACACCAACGAGAAACTGCAACAGTTTTTCAACCATCACATGTTTGTTCTGGAGCAAGAGGAGTACAAGAAAGAAGGCATCGACTGGGAGTTCATCGACTTTGGGATGGATCTACAGGCTTGCATTGATCTCATTGACAAGCCGCTGGGAATCATGTCAATTCTGGAGGAGGAATGCATGTTTCCGAAAGCCAGTGACCAGACTTTCAAGTCCAAGCTGTACGACAATCACCTGGGAAAGAACAAGATGTTTGAGAAGCCGAGAGCTGCAAAGGGGAAAGCAGAGGCCCATTTTGCTCTGGTTCACTACGCTGGCACGGTGGACTACAACATCACCAATTGGTTGGTCAAAAACAAAGATCCCCTGAATGAAACTGTGGTCGGCCTTTACCAGAAATCCTGTCTGAAGCTCCTCAGTCTGCTGTTTTCCAGCTATTCAGGAACCGACGGTGACAAGGCAAGTGGCAAAGGAGCCAAAAAGAAAGGTTCCTCGTTCCAGACCGTGTCAGCGCTTCACAGGGAAAACCTGAACAAGCTGATGAACAACCTGAAGACCACACACCCCCACTTTGTCCGCTGTCTGATTCCAAATGAGAAGAAAACTCCGGGAGCCATGGATAACTGCTTGGTGATGCACCAGCTGCGCTGCAACGGCGTCCTGGAAGGCATCAGGATCTGCAGGAAGGGTTTCCCCAACAGGGTGCTCTATGGCGACTTCAAACAGAGATACAGGATCCTGAATGCCTCTGCCATCCCCGAGGGCCAGTTCATTGACTGCAAGAAGAGCGCAGAGAAGCTGCTGGGATCCCTAGACATCGACCACACTCAGTACCGCTTCGGTCACACCAAGGTCTTCTTTAAAGCCGGCCTGCTGGGCACTCTGGAGGAGATGCGTGATGAGCAACTCTCCCGAATTATCACCAGGATTCAGGCCAATGCCCGAGCAATCCTCATGAGGGAAGAATTTGCAAAGCTGATGGAACGCAGAGATGCCCTGATGGTAATTCAGTGGAATCTTCGCTCCTTTCTGGGTGTAAAAAACTGGCCCTGGATGAAACTGTTCTTTAAGATCAAACCACTGCTGAAGAGTGCCGAGTCTGAGAAGGAGATGGCCAACATGAAGGATGAGTTCAGCAAGCTGAAAGAAGCTCTTGAGAAATCAGAAACGAGGCGTAAAGAACTGGAGGAGAAAATAGTGACTCTTCTCCAAGAGAAGAACGATCTGACTCTGCACATTCAGTCTGAACAGGATACACTGACGGATGCTGAAGAACGCTGCGAACAGCTTATCAAGAGCAAAATTCAACTGGATGCAAAACTGAAAGAGATGATCGAGCGGCTGGAAGACGAAGAGGAGCTGAATGCAGATCTTACAGCAAAGAAACGGAAGCTCGAAGATGAATCCTCTGAGCTGAAAAAAGACATAGATGATCTGGAGCTGACTTTGGCCAAAGTAGAGAAAGAGAAACACGCCATAGAGAATAAAGTGAAGAACCTGATGGAGGAGATGGCTTCCCAGGATGAAAACATCATGAAGCTAACAAAAGAGAAGAAGGCGCTGCAGGAGGCTCACCAGCAGACACTTGATGACCTTCAGAGTGAAGAAGACAAAGCCAATAGCTTAACCAAAGCCAAAGTTAAGTTGGAGCAGCAGGTGGACGATCTGGAGGCCTCGTTGGAGCAGGAGAAGAAACTCAGGATGGAACTTGAACGCTCAAAGAGGAAGTTCGAAGGAGACCTAAAACTGACTCAAGAGAGCTTGATGGACTTAGAAAACGACAAGCAGCAGCTGGAGGAGAAACTAAAAAAAAAAGACTTTGAGATGGTGCAGATAAGTTCAAGACTAGATGATGAGCAGGTTGCTTCAGTTCAGCTCCAGAAGAAGCTGAAGGAGAACCAGGCGAGAATTGAGGAGTTGGAAGAGGAGCTAGATGCTGAGCGAGCAGCCCGTGCCAAAGTGGAGAAGCAGCGTTCTGATCTTTCCCGTGAGCTGGAGGACATCAGCGAGCGCCTGGAGGAGGCAGGCGGAGCAACGTCGGCGCAGGTGGAGATGAACAAAAAGAGAGATGCTGAGTTCCAGAAGCTGCGTAGGGAGCTGGAGGAATCCACGCTCCAACATGAGGCCACCGCGGCCACCCTAAGGAAGAAGCACGCCGACAGCGTGGCCGAGCTAGGGGAGCAGATCGACAACCTGCAGCGAGTGAAGCAGAAGCTGGAGAAGGAGAAGAGTGAGTTGAAGCTCGAGCTAGATGACTTGTCTTCTAACATGGAGAGTGTGGTGAAAGCCAAGTCTAACATTGAGAAGATGTGCAGAACTATGGAGGACAACATGAATGAGTACAAGAGCAAATGTGAGGAGTCTCAGCGTGCCGTCAACGACCTGACGACCCAGAAAGCCAAGCTACTCACGGAGAACGGCGAGTTTGGCCGTCAGCTGGAGGAGAAGGAGTGTCTGATTTCACAGCTGACCAGAGGGAAGAACTCGTACAACCAGCAGGTAGAAGATCTGCGTAGACAGCTGGAAGAAGAAGTCAAAGCAAAGAACGCACTCGCCCACGCGGTGCAATCTGCTCGTCACGACTGTGATCTGCTCCGAGAGCAGTTTGAAGAGGAGCAGGAAGCCAAGGCCGAGCTGCAGAGAGTTCTGTCCAAGTCCAACACAGAGGTCTCAGCGTGGAGAACAAAGTATGAAACAGACGGAATCCAGCGAACAGAGGAACTGGAGGAAGCAAAGAAGAAGCTGGTTCAAAGACTGCAGGAGGCCGAGGAGGCCATTGAGGCTGTGAACGCAAAGTGTTCTTCCCTCGAGAAGACCAAGCACCGCCTACAAAACGAAATCGAAGACCTGATGCTGGACCTGGAGAAATCCAACGCTGCGTCTGCAGTCCTGGACAAGAAGCAAAGGGCCTTTGACAAAATCATGGCAGAGTGGAAGCAAAAGTTTGAGGAGTCTCAGTGTGAGCTGGAGGTCTCTCAGAAGGAGTCCCGGTCTCTGAGCACTGAACTCTTCAAACTGAGGAACGCCTATGAGGAGTCTCTGGATCAACTAGAGACAGTTAAGAGGGAGAACAAGAACCTCCAGGAGGAGATTTCCGACCTCTCCGACCAGTTGGGGGAGGGCGGCAGGAGTGTTCATGAACTGGAGAAGATTCGGAAGCAGCTAGAGCAGGAAAAGGCAGAGCTCCAGTCAGCTCTCGAGGAGGCGGAAGGTTCTTTGGAGCATGAAGAGAGCAAGATCCTTCGAGCCCAGCTGGAGTTTAACCAGGTTAAGGCCGACATGGACCGCAAGATGGCTGAGAGAGATGAAGAAATGGAGCAGGCCAAGAGGAACTACCAGCGGACGCTGGAGTCGCTTCAGTCCTCTTTGGAGTCTGAAACAAGGAGCCGCAACGAGGCCCTAAGGGTCAAGAAGAAGATGGAGGGCGATCTCAACGAAATGGAGATCCAGCTCAGCCAAGCTAACAGGCAGGCGGCCGACGCCTTGAAACAGCTGAAGAGCCTCCAGGCCTTCCTGAAAGACTATCAGCTGCAGCTGGACGACGTGCAGCACGTCAACGATGACCTGAAGGAGAATATTGCTCTTCTGGAACGCAGGAACAACCTGATCCAGGCTGAGCTCGAGGACCTGAGGGCCGCCCTTGAGCAAACGGAGAGAAGTCGCAAGCTGGCCGAACAGGAGCTGACCGACGCCACAGAGCGCATGCAGCTCCTCCACTCCCAGAACACCAGCCTTATCAACCAGAAGAAGAAGCATGAGGCGGACCTCTCGCTCATGCAGGGTGAGATGGAGGAGGCCTTGCAGGAGAACCGTAACGCTGAGGAGAAGGCCAAGAAGGCCATCACAGATGCGGCCATGATGGCCGAGGAGCTAAAGAAGGAGCAGGACACAAGCTCCCATCTGGAGCGCATGAAAAAGAACATGGAGCAGACCATCAAAGACTTGCAGCACCGTCTGGACGAGGCCGAGCAGATCGCTATGAAGGGCGGCAAGAAGCAGCTCCAGAAACTGGAGGCTCGCATCAAGGAGCTAGAGAACGAGCTGGAGGTGGAGCAGAGGAGGGGAACCGAGTCTACCAAGGGGGTTCGCAAGTACGAGCGGCGCCTTAAGGAGCTCACTTACCAGACCGAGGAAGACCGCAAAAACGTGGCCCGCCTCCAGGACCTGGTGGACAAGCTGCAGCTGAAGGTGAAGTCCTACAAACACGCGGCTGAGGAGGCGGAGGAGGGAGCAAACGCCAACATGGCCAAAGTACGCAAGCTGCAGCACGAGCTGGAGGAGGCTGAGGAGAGGGCCGACATTGCAGAGTCGCAGGTCAATAAGCTGAGGGCCAAGTCCAGAGACGGGTCCTCCAAGAAGGGCCTGGACGAGTGAGGAGTTACAGGTGAGACTGCAGGTCTGCTTCATGTCAGCTGCATTTTCAGGTCTTTACAGCTCGATTGGTTGAGATAATCAGGTGTCGTCTCTCAGATGTCATCTGTTGAAAGCTCTGATACTAAGATGTTGTGAATCCAAATGTTAATATCTTTCATGGTCGGTGAATCTGCTTTGATTGACAGGGGTTCCTGCACCATGTCACTGGAGTTATTGAAGAGGACCCAGAGACAACACAACGAGTTTATACCAGGAATACTTGTTAGTGAACTTTACATTCTGATTTTGTGATTCTACTTTTAGAAACAATCTGTTTAATTGTGCTTATTAATGAGTTTCAGAAACTTTAAAAAGAAACAAAGTTAAGTTATGAAAAATATTAAGTAAACATCAGACACGTGGACCTTCAGATCTTCATGAACTGGATCAACAGGTTGATTGATTGATTGATTGATGTTAGTAAGGGTATCAATAATAAACCTACTGATTTATTAAAAGGATCTTTGACAGCAAACCATTTTTTTCTGTTTGATATCTACTAAAGCGAAATGTTCTCTCTTCATGTGTCACGTAAAAACTGGTTCGATGGTGTTGGACCTGTAATGTGTTTTCTTCAGGTGCGTCCTGTGGAACTCCTCTTTAACGTCTCACTGGTTTGTCCATCCATCCATCCATTGTCAAACCGCTTATCCTGCACACAGGGTCGCGGGGGGGCTGGAGTCCATCCCAGCCCTCACTGGTTTGTGTCCAACAAAAAGGTTTAAAAGAGGTTTCTCACGGCTCTGCATGCAGCAGCTTTACTGATATTATAATGTTGTAAAAGAAAACACGTAATACTACACAACGAATGTGCTCGTATGTGAGAGCACGTCCACCATGGGGGACGTTACTTCTATGAGGACGGGTGAGGTCATGGACATATTTGATGGACGGTGAAGAAAAACGATAGCGTTCAAACAAGTAGTCATCTGGAAATGAGAATATATCTAATCGGCCTCAATATTCTCTCCTGACGTGTTTAACAGCCTGAGAAGTAAAAGCGCTTCTTCATCAACAGGATCGTCCAGAAAAGGACGTGACGTGTTCCAGAAAACACTTTAGTCTTTAATGTAACATCTTATTTTGTTCATATGTGGAAACTGATACAGAGTGAATGAATGAATGAGGAAATTAAAGCGCGCTGTGTGATTGGCTGGGCTGCTGTCAGAGGGAGGAGCCTGTGGAAGGAGAAAGAAAACCAGGTGATGTTCACAGGCTCAGTTACCATGGTGACTGATCCTGAGCTTTAGTTACCATGGTGACTGAGCCTGAGCTTTAGTTACCATGGAGACTGATCCTGAGCTTTAGTTACCATGGTGACTGAGCCTGAGCTTTAGTTACCATGGTGACTGAGCTTTAGTTACTCCCTTTGTGAAACAAGCCAGTTTCCCTCATCTCAGGGTGAACAAACTGAGTTTACACTAAACCGGCTCCTTGAAACGGACCCCAGTACTCCGGTGTTTGTCTATCCACCCGAACCGAACACAAATAACAATCATTTACCAATAGAGTATCAATATTATAGGAATACTCTCCCAATATTAATAGTAATAGTATAACCAATAGGGGGGCCGTCGTGGCACAGGGGGAAAAGCCGGTGTGCTGGGAACCGCAAAGTTGGTGGTTCGGGTCCCGGCTGCCCCATGTCTCAAGTCAAAGTGTCCCTGAGCAAGACACCTGACCCCTAATTGCTCCCATGGGTTTAAAGTGTAAGTCGCTTTGCATAAAAGCGTCTGCTAAATGACCTGTAATGTAATAGTATTATAAGAACAATGAAAAAGTCAAATATCAATAAAACAGCCAATGGTAGATAGAAAAAGTGGGTAAATTAAATCACTACAAATACTAGAACCAAAATCATAACACCAATAACAATAACACAATCAAGTGATACAGGTAATTATAAAAGTGTAAATACAAATAATAATATCAAATAACATCAGGAGGAAACAGGTTGTTGAGAACTTAACTCGGTTTATTTGGAGCTTCAGAACACAAATAGAAAAGGAACAGCTGATGAAATGATGACATCGCCACAAGAGACATTTGACCTTTTACACCTGGTTCCTGTCTGAACTGGACTGAAGGAGGTTCTGGTTCTGATTTTCAGTATTAATCGCTAAACATCCTACTGGTTGTGATCCAGTTCTGAATGTATCTCAGGATCCCGGTGGAGAACAATCTGGTTTGTTCTGGATCTCAACCATTAAGAGGTTGGGTCTGTGTTGGGTGTGAGCGGCTAGAGGATGGTTTGAATGCTTCTGGTTCTCCTGATGTGATCCAAAGGACCAGATATGTTAAATTAGTTCCAATTTGGTCTAAAAACAGAAAGACAGGAGCTGGTTCAGGTTCTCAACGCTTCCATCTTGTTCAGTTACTTGAGTTTTCTGAACAACGTGGTTTTAGTGAAGCAAACAGAAAACAGTGAAAAACAATTTTACATGAAATATAAGGCAACAGATTCAGCAGAGGAACCAGGACCGGGTCCTGGTCTCAGTCTGACCCGGTTGAGTTCTCCCCTTCGGTTCAGTTACTCTCAGAAAACATTTAAAAGCAACCGGGAAGTCGTCATGACGCCGACAGAGACGGCCTCTGCAGGTCAGCGGATCGCCGGACCAATGAGGGTCGCGATGTGTTACAGGGTAAACTAGTCACATGATCTCTTTCACTGATCAGCATTAAATATGAGTTTTATTTCTAGAATATTACCTTTTTAAATGAATAAAACATTATTTCTCATGTATTACTGACTTAAAAGCCTTATTATTATTATTATTATTATATTAGTTATTAATATATATTGTAGACCAGATGTTGTAATCAAACATCAACATAGATTATCAATGATCAATAACTACCACACTCATCCTTCAGAACATCCTGTGTGTTGGTTTGGACTGAACCGAGGAGGAAAACCAACCGGGCTTATAAAGTTTGGCTAGGTGGTTCCTAGAGCGGGTCTAATGTTCCCACCGTCCATCCCCCAGCATGCATCACTGTGAAGGAGACTAGTGTTCCATACAGGCACCTATCACAGGAACGCACAGCAAGAGAACCAGCTATGAAGTGAAGAACTAGTTGGGTTCTTCTTCCTTGGTGTTCATTGAAGTCCAAACAGGAAGTGGACCCTCCTCAGGGTTCTGCAATAGTTGGGGGTGGCTTTCCTGGAGACGTTCACATTGAGAGCAGCAGAACTGGCTACAGAACCTCAACCGTATTCGGTGACCGGTTTTAGCTTCCAATGAGATTTTCTTCTTTGGGTTTTTGGACTGTGAAAGCATCATGTAAAGATCCTCCTGCATATGAAATCCCAACTTCTTCACAAACATTACGACTAATAAACATCTGCTAGCTCCTTTCCTAAATTAGCTGGTTTCCCTACTTCACCATCTTAGCTAGTTTGCTAATCCACTAGTTAGCGGTTTTGCCAGTTCTCTAGTTGGCGGTGAGCTGCTAAAACGTCAATGAATCTGATTCTGTTGTGAAAACAAACAGAAGAAAAGTCTTTTGCTATCAAAGTAGAAAGCTGCCAACGGGTCAACTGCTCGCAGTGTGAAGGCCTGCTTACGTTATGCATATACTTTAAAAGTGCAAATAGTCTTTTTGGTGCTCAGGTGCATTTGTTTGTTCTCACATTTATGGCTTTTCTTTGAAGCCGGTACAGAAAGCGGCTCCTACAGTCTCTTGGTGTGCTTGGAGTTATAGTGACTCCTCATGTCTTTGCGGAGGCGGAACTTCTCTCCACAAACGCCGCAGATGTACAGGTGGACATCCATGTGCTTCTCCAGCTGCTCTCCGCCGGGGAAGATCTGGAAACACACCTGACAGATGGTTTCCCCGGCCGACAGGTGTGAGATCATGTGGCGCACGTGGTCGTGCTTGAGGAAGGTGCCCTGGTCGCACACCGGGCAGACGTAGCGCGCCATACCTTTGTGCATGTCGGTGTGCAGCCGTAGCTGCCGCTCCCGCAGGAACTGCTTTCCACAGGTCTGGCAGGTAAACTGCTTCTCCTTGGTGTGGACGGTGTAGTGCTCCCGCAGGTGGCAGCGCTGGTAGAAGCCTTTGCCGCAGATGCCGCAGAAGTGCTTGCGCCGGTGGTCCAGTTCGCCGGCCTCCTCTAGCAGCGCCGGGCGGAAAAGCTCCTGGTCGTGGCAGGACAAGGCGTGCTCCAGCACCGAGCTCTCGCTCTGGAATAGTGCGGCGCAGTGAGGGCAGGCCAGGTCGGAGGCCTCCATCAGCGCCTCCTCCATCTCCTGAGGCTCCTCCAGCAGTGAGGCCTCGTCCTCCCCGTGAGAGTCAGACTCGCCACCCTGGGACTCGCCGCAGCGCTCTGCGTGCTCCTGGAGCTGCCGGCCTTTGATCAGCACCTGGCCGCACCTGCCGCAGGCGCAGATGTGGCCCATGTGGTTGGACAGGTAGTGCGCTGACTTGTCTTCCTCCATCAGTGGAGCGCCACACAGTTCACAGGGGGCGGAGTCTGCCTCCTGCTGCTCCTCTTTGACCTTACGGAGCTTCACGGGGATTCCTTGATCCTCACCGCTGTTCTCCAGACCCGAGACGCCGGGTTCCGGGTCGCCGCCCAATTCGTTTTTTGCCCTTGGTCGGTCTTTAGACGCGGCGTCAACGGCACAGTCTCCGACCCGAACTACTTCGATCTCGGAGAATGTGCTTCCCTGTGGTTCCGTCTTGATGGAGATACCCCGGGTCGACCTGGCACCAAGATCAGACTCGGCTGCTCTTGCTTCGGGCCAGTCGTCCTCGCCTTTACAGGTGAGCCGATGCTCCTCGGCGCTCTCGGAGGCGGAGCTCTCGGCTTTGCTGGACTCGTTGTCCCCCTCGGCGCTGCCCCTCGGCTGATGGAAGGCCTTCCGGTTGGTGCAGGTGAGAATGTGTTCGATCAAAAGCTTCTCGCAGCTGAAGACGAATCCGCAGTCGTCGCAGGTGTAGGTGCGACCAAACCGAGGGCGGTCTTTGAGGGCTGAGCTCCTGCCGCCGGGCCTCTTCCTCAGGTCACAGGGCTGGTCCCCCAGCCCGTCCACCGCAGGTGGTGCCCCTACAAAAGGAGTCGACACCACCTCCTCCACCACCGCCGCTCTGCTGACTGTTACAGGAGCGGCCAGACGGCCGTCAGCGCTGCTGGCTGCTTTTGGTAGAAGCTCCGCCTCCGGGGCAGAGGGGCTCTGCTGCTCGTACATGCGGACGCCGAACATCATCTTGCCGGCGGCAGGGCAGGCTGAAGAGGTGGTGGAGGTGGCGGAGGACGGGGCCAGGGTGGAGCTCCGGATGTCCCGGAGGTCCTCGAGCGAGTCGGGGATGTAATACATCTGCAGGTACGCCATGGAGGCCTTCAGCTCCTCGAACTCGTAGCTGCCCACCACGATGCGACCCAGGTACATGAGCTGCAAGATGAGGTCAAAGCACTCGGCGCTGATCTGCATGTTGCTGAGGTCCAGGCGGCCCGCGCCCTGCTGGTCCCGGATGAACATCATCCGGAAGTAGGAGCTGCAGGCCGCCAGCACGGCCTTGTGGGCCCTGAAGTAGATGTCCCCGATGGCGATGAGGCAGTCGCACAGGAAGCCCCACTCGCGCTGGTTGTTGAGCTGCTGGAGGACGTGGTCGCTGTGGCTCGGCCTCGCCATCGCCCTGAAGGACACACAGGGATTAGTTCCACATACAGTCGAAGGAAACAACATACAATTTCATCAGTACAACAACACACTTTATCAGGTACACCTGTAAAATTGCTTGTTAACGCACGTTTATAATCAGCCAATCACACGGCAGCAACTCGCTGCCTTTAGGCGTGTAGACGTGGTGAAGACAACTTAGTGAAGGTCAAAGCGAGCATCAGAACGGGGAGGAAGGTGATTTAAGTGACGTTCACGTGGATGGTTGTTGGTGCAAACGGTCGGAGTACGTCACAAACTGCTGATCTACTGGGATCTGAACGCACAACCATCTCTGGGGTTCACGGAGGACGGCCCCAAAAAGAGAAAATGTCCAGTGAGCAGCAGGCGTGTGGTGAAAACACCGTGTTGATGCGAGAGGTCAGAGGAGAACGAGCGGACTGGTTCCACATGACAGAAAGACAACGGGCTGCAACTCCACCAGGATCATCACCACGGGACGTCGCTGGTCTCCTTTCAGCAGAACATCAGATGGTTAGAATGTAAACAACATGAAAGCATGGATCCATCCTGCCTGTACCGACACTTCACGCTGCTGCTGGTGGGATGAGGGGGGTCGGCATGTAGCGGACATGTCCATCCCCGATGCACCGTGTCACAAAGCTCATATCATCTCATCCTGAACATGACGAGGAGTTCGCGGTGCTCCGCTGGCCTCTAAGTCACCGCATCTCACGCCGGCGGCGCAGTTCACGTCTGCTGAGTGACAGACCCGCGCGATGCTGTCACGTCAATAAAGAGGCCGGCCGCACTCACGAGCTAAAATGGAGATTATAGAGGTTAGCTACGTTAAGCTAGGAGCAGCTAGCATCGCAACAACCGGAACTTATTACGAGTTACGCTCCAGAATAAAAGAATACAGAATACAAAAAGACAAAATTACAAAATGACTAAATAAATAATTATATTATATATAATATATATTATATTAAATGATTACTTATTATTACAGTAACGTGGCATTAACTACCATTTTAATATTTTTTAGAAGGATTGAAGTTAATATCATTACTCGCGCTTTATCGTGAAAACCTAGACCGGATGTGATACATGTACATCCCGTTCAATTGACGCTGCTCAGTGATATCTCTCCCGCAAACAGTCCCGCCACCCCCGCACAACCTCCCGCACGCCAGCAGGCCGCGAGGACTTTCTTCATAGTTCACCCCGCCAGGCGGCTCTAGGAGCCGGGAAGGGTCCCGACCACTCACCGTGGGTACCGGAGGAGCGGTAGTGTGTGTGGTGTCCCCGGGGTCCGGAGGATTCCTCTCCGGAGACGCGTTGTGTTCGGGCGGACAAGAGGCCTCTTCTTCTTCCTCTTCCTCTTCTTCTGCTGCTGATTTTTCTTCTTCTCCTCTCGCAGGATGAGAGAACTTCCGCACTTTGCCGCTCCGTCAGTTAGCGCACAGTGAGCGAGAAGACAAAATAAAAGACTTCCGGTCAGAATGCCAGCATTCGGAATAGATGTTGTGTTATATAAAAACAAAGAGGTCGCACTCTGATTCACTTCACTGAACCATGTTGTGTTTCCTATTGTTCAATTCATTTTACTTCGTATAGCCAAAAATCACATAATTGCCTCAGAGGGTTTGCAGTCTGCCACATCATCATGTGTCATGTGTACAGATCAACAATACATTCAATTCCTATGACAGAAATGATTCAATAATTGTGAGTAGTAAGCCGAGTGTACGCCAGGACCACTGCAGTGACAGCCTCCATCAGATGTAACCTCCAACAGGTTACACCATCAGATGTAACCTCCATCAGATGTAACCTCCAACAGATACAAACTCCATCAGATGTAACCTCCATCAGATGTAACCTCCATCAGATACAACCACCATCAGATCTAACCTCCATCAGATGTAACCTCCATCAGATACAACCACCATCAGATGTAACCTCCATCAGATGCAACCACCATCAGATGTAACCTCCATCAGATGTAACCTCCGTCAGATACAACCACCATCAGATGTAACCTCCATCAGATGCAACCACCATCAGATGTAACCTCCATCAGATGTAACCTCCGTCAGATACAACCACCATCAGATGTAACCTCCATCAGATGTAACCTCAATCAGATATAACCACCTTTATAATATTCATAATATTGTTAATGTTTGTATTTTTATATAATATGTTTCACAGTGGATTATTTATTTAGACATGATATATTTTATTACATGATATATTTTTTATAAGATTTAAGTAATTTATTTATTGTGAATTTATTAATTGATAAAATGTTTTTCTCTTTGATATCAGCGTGTCTTATCAACTAATGTGTAGAATATACATAGCCTTAGCCTTATTCTTACTAACCCATTGCATTAGCATTTCATTCCACTTTATTTTATAACTTGTGCACTGTTGTCTTGTCTGTCTACTGTCGCGCACTAACCGCCAAGACAAATTCCTTGTATGTTTGACATATTTTGGCCAATAAATGATTCCTGATTCCTGATTCCTGATACCACGTGTTTGATCACCTAACCATTGATTTCATCATATCATTTAATTTTCAAGTGAAATAGGCTCCGCTGTTATGATTTCAATATGTATAGAAATAAGTATTTATATAAATCTAAACAGGATCCCTATTTGGGATGATGCATTAGATCTGGGTAGGTGACATCGACGGATCACGTGACCAGCCCCTATGACCTTCCTCTCGCGAGACTTGATGCGTCTTTCTGCGAGATCATCTGCACCAAGAAATCGGATCCAGAACCAGAACACAATCTGCACATTTCTGCGGTAAGAGGCCGATCGGTACGCGTGCACGACGCAAACATCAGAGATTGTGTACGGGCTGGGTGGGCGTGTGCACGCGTCTGTGATGCGTTCGAGGGGAACGAGGACGCGCGTGCTGCTGAATTAGAATGAGACGGAGAAGGATGGAGGAGGCTGCAGCCCGACACGACGTGCACGCGCTGTGTTGTTGTTTGGTCGCGCGCGTGTCCCGTTTCCGGTCATTTTGGATCTGTGGCCCAATCCCAATCGACCTGCTAAACCCTAACCCCTGACCCCTAACCCCTGACCCCTAACCCCCCCCCCCCGGGACTCACTGACGTCACCTGGGCAATGGTTGAGTGTGTGAGTTTGAGGGCTTAAATGGTGTGAAAATTAAGGACTTTGCTGCAACGACAACATTTGCGACAAGATTCATGTAATTTTCTTTCTTCTTTGACAGTCAGAATACACATTTGCCTCCTCTTTGTTTACCTTTTTCCTTTTCCTTCAGGAACTGGTCATTTGTTTGTGATGATATTCCTGTTGGACTTTGCTCAGTTTGGAGTCCTTGAGGACACCTGTCAGGTGGTGGTAAACGTAAAAAATTGTAGCAGAGGAACATGGAACATCCAGAAGTTTCTTAAGCACCAAATAAATCTAGGAACAGCACACACGCAGCGGCTTTCCTCGTGATCTACGCATTACCGACACTGTACAAACACGTACAGTGTATGAGACAGTGAATACTCGGCGTGTGGTGTTCACGTAACGTTTTGGCTCCAGAAGGTCTTCTTGTAAAGACCTGGTCCAGGTCACCGTGCTGTCATAACGGATCTTTGTGATGTCGGAGAACCCTATAAAACGTGAATCTAACTCAAATCCCTCCTTTGTCAGTGAGGAAGAGAGCTGTCTTTTTCTGGGGGATGATGAACTAATTCAGCAGCTTAGATGAACCTGCGTTGGAGCAGGTTCAAGTTTTTGGATGTGTTGCTATGGTGATTTAAACAAACCTGCTCTGTGGAACCGAAAAGCCTGACTTATGTAATCTTATCCTGAAAATGATCCGGGTAACTGGAACAGGGCCAAGGTCTGTATTGTGCTTATGTTTGTCTTGTTGTTCATTGTTTTAGTTGTCTGTGATTATTCACATCCTCCTTCTTCTGTCTTGGATAAATCAGGGTTTATTTAATCCCATCTCAGAATCGAACTCCCATGGTGCATTTCACCATCAAACATCCAACTACAAAGCTGTTTAAATGATCACATTTAAATGGAAGATTAAAAATCTGCAATTTGATTCCTTGACTATTCTGGTTCACTTGTGAATTAAGTAACCATGACAACGTGTTTTATCTTATGCTTTAGTTCACAGGTGTGTGTGTGTCTGTGTGTGTGTGTGTGTGTGTCTGTGTGTTGCAGTGGGTCATGGAGTCGCCCTCTCACAGCCTCTTCCTGCTCCAGCAGCTCAATGTCCAGAGAGAGTTTGGCTTCCTGTGCGACTGCACCGTCGCCATCGGCAACGTCTACTTCAAAGCTCACCGGGCCGTGCTGGCAGCCTTCTCCAACTACTTCAAGATGATCTTCATCCACCAGACCAGGTCCCTGTAGCTCTAGACCAAAGCTGTGTCTCAATTCAGTGGCTTGTATACTTGGAGGATCCAGCCTTCTGGTCTACCTGGGCTGGGTCCTCCAAATGGGACGGACTGGCCTACGGGGGGTCATCAGGTTTACCTCCGCTGCTTCCATTGCCTAGCAACCTGCTGCGCTTGGCATTAAAAGCCTTAAAAGCCGAAAAACGTAGACTACAGAGAAGATAATCTTCTTATTTCATTTAATTTAGAAAGATCGGGGAACAGCTGTTCAGGTGGCCGGCGTCCTTCTTACCATCAATAACAAAATAACGTGGAATTCATTTTTGGCCGTACCGCCCAGCCCCAATGGGATGTCATGTATTAAAAAGTAAAAATGTATACCCATAGATATTCAAAGGAATCATATTGCTTACATTTAAAAGTGAACTTTCCCCGCTGTTAGCTCACTTGTATCCATCCTCAATAAATTAAACCCTCGTCGTCCCGCACTGCATGCTGGGATATGCTGGGCCACAAAGGACAGATGTGTCCTCAAAATCGGCGCCCAGGGGGCTGCGTCCCTCGGCCGCGTTCGGAGGAGCCGACGGATTGGGACATTCTCCAGGTCTCTGTGATGGTAGACTAGGTCTCTGTAGTCTGTAGGGTCCTTCTGATTGTAGACCAGGTGAGGAGGGTCCCTCTAAGCTTAGAACAGGTGAGTATGGTCCAGCTGGCAGTAGACCAGATAGGGAGGGTCCCTCTAAGCTTAGAACAGGTGAGTATGGTCCAGCTGACACTAGACCAGGTAGGGAGGGTCCCTTTAGCAGTAGACCAGAGGAGGAGGGTCCCTTTAGCAGTAGACCAGGTAGGGAGGGTCCCTCTAAGCTTAGAACAGGTGAGTATGGTCCAGCTGACACTAGACCAGGTAGGGAGGGTCCCTTTAGCAGTAGACCAGAGGACGAGGGTCCCTAATGGTACGTTCAAACCAAACATGTTGCCAACGTTTCGTATCACAGGATTACATACAAAGTCTATGCACAGACGCGATGAGACTGGACCAGGTACCGTGGACCCTATGCTGACCCCTCTTGCTCTTGTTCTCAGTGAGTGCATAAAGATCCAGCCCACCGACATTCAGCCAGACGTGTTCAGCTACCTGCTGCACATCATGTACACCGGGCGGTGCCCCAAGCAGCCGGTGGATCCGAGCCGGCTGCAGGACGGCATGAAGTTCCTTCACGCCTACCAATTGTGTCGGAAACATGCCGAGGGCGCCGCAGACTCCGGCGTGGATGACGACATGGTCCGGATGTCCAACCTGTACGGAATCCAAATCTCATCTCAGCTTGCCAACAAAGAAGCGGGCGGAGCCCCCGAGACAACGACCGCCCCTTCCGAGGGCCGGGGGGGGGGGTCCCACCCTCAGCTGGCCCTCGCCGCCGGACTGGAGGGGGTCCCGTCTGCAACGCACAATGTGTGCTCCGTGGCGTCCGGGGAGGATTCAAACCTCACCGCCCAAATCAAGAAGGAGCGGGTGGAGGAGGAAGAGGAGGAGGAGGATGGCAAACAGGCGCCCGGGGGGGGGTCTCCGGATAGCAGCCCCATGCAGGATCTCCTCTTCAAAGACCGGGCCCTGGTCCTGCTGTGCCCCCGCTGTGGGGAGCGCTGCTCCTCCCCCGAGGACCTGAGGGATCACCTTTTCAGCCACGCCCTCGACGCGGGGGCGCAGGGCGGCGAGCTGGACACTGGCGGGGAGGAAGGTCCGACAGAGGACGCCCGCTGGCTGGAGGAGGCGCTGAGGCAGAGCCAGGCATTGGCCAACCAGCTGGCGGCAGAGCTAAGGAGGAGCCGGGGCGGAAGAGGTGGAGGCGGA